GCTCACACTAGTGCAGTCCCTGGGTCAGGTGGCCCCAACCAGTGTGGCCTGTGACTGCTTAGAAGTTGGACAGCCCTGTTTAAGACAAGATATTTAACCTGAATAAAATCAGTAACAGAATCTCCTCCCATTTAGAATGCATTAGTTACAGATCTGAAGAATTACTCCAATCGGTTACAGTGACTAAGCTGCTTTTTAACGTGCTTGTTGTATCAGCATCATGAAGTCCTGTTAACAAAGAAAGAAGAAAACAACGTCATACCAAAACAACTCTCGATTCTATTTTTGAGAGGTTATTTTCCTGGCAATCGATTGTACACAATGAAATCTTGGCTCAAGAAAAATCAATGACAAAATCCCTATCGATTTCAATGGGGCTAGGGTTCCCCCACACCAGGGACATTATAGACATCTATAAAAGAATTTTGCCTTTGTCATTACAATGAGGCACTGATACTAGCACAGAAGTCCTCCCAGAACCTGCAGGTCATGTCCACACTACCTCAGGAGGATGCTAGAGAACTAAATGAAGCATGCTGCCATACCCATCTACATACACCGTGCCCTCAAATGGACGTAACATTGACATGTGCCCAGCACTGCAGCAGGGCAGCCATATTACACCCATTTCAGGGAATAGTGTACATGGAGCAAACATGGCATGCTTCACTTTGGAGCTCCCCAACGTGGTCTTGAGGTAGTACAGATAGGCCCAAAGTATCTCTTCTATGCAGAAAAATGAAACAACTCTAAAGGGCAGTGTCACAGGGAGAGAAAGACTGGGGAGACTCCCGAGTCCACAGGGGGGCCCCAGGGCTAGGAGCTGGGGGCGGAACGGAGAAAAGGAAAATAAAAAAGGGTAACTTGCTCACCACAGGATGGGAGGAGCAGGGACGGCAGGAGAAGCCTGCGCGGGGCGTAGATCACGCCTTAAGTTACCCGCGGCTGGCGGATGACGTCACTCCCAATCGCCAGCCGGCGGAAATAAAAGGGCCGGCGGTGAAAAGGAGCAGGGCGCACATGTGGCTGCCGGGAGGGAGCCTGGCCAGTGGAGTCAGCTGGAGGCGTGGAATGCCAGAGGTGACTACCCGCGCTCACCACAGGGAACTAAAGGAACCCAGGGGCGAGCCAGCACCCGAGGCCAGCATGACAGCTGCGGGCGAGCTGGGAAAGGAAACGGTAAGAGCCCCAGTGGCGCGGAGAGGTCAACGGGCCGGGGAAGACCCGGAGAGAGGACTGCTGCTCAGGGAAGACCCGGAGAGAGGGCTGCAGGTCAGGGAAGACCCGGAGAGAGGGCTGCAGGTCGGGGAAGACCCGGAGAGAGGGGCACTGCACCCAGGGGACCCAGACAGAGGGTCACGCCGGTAGGATACCGGAGAAGGAGTGGTGTGAGGCTGGGATAGGCGGAGAGGGGCCACAGAACTGAGCCACGGGCAGGTGGCCCTGTCAACAAGTGGAGGGATAAAGAGGCTGTCGGCTCCATAAGGAAGCCCAATAGGGGCAGGGTTATGCCTCTCTTGAGGCTCATTGAGCTTTTCGTTTGAGTCCTGGAGGGAGTTTTGTGTTTCCCCACATTAGAAGGGGCTGAGGTGGTGGAGGCAGGGAGTTGGAGCGAGAGGTGAGCTCGTTGTTTAAGTATCTAGGGGATATTTGGCCAACCACGGAAACAGCCAAGATCCGCTGGGCTGGGTAAAGGGCGAGGTGCAGGGGAGGAGGAGCCTCGCAGAAGACATCTTAGAAGCAGGTGACCGACGAGGGCAACCGCGCTGCATGAAGCCCCACCCACTGAAAGATTCAAGTCGTGGCAGGTGAGAAGGGGCAGGTTGCGGCATGTGGGAAGACCTCCCGGAAGGCCGCCACCGACGGCAAGGCGAGTACTGGCAAGCGCTCGGATCAAGGAAGCCCGAGGTAAGATGTACGAGGCCCGGCGGGTACAGGCAGTATCTTGAAACTTCAGAACTAAAAGCGATTGTGTATGTCCCTCACAAGAAAGATGGGACTGTCTCCTTTCTAACTGTATAAACAGTTCTAGATAAGCCTAATAGTCATCAGATAGAAATCTTAAATGTCAGCAGGTCAAAGGATGAATATTATTCTCACATTAAAATGATTCTGGTTTCTGGAGCTGAAGCAATTTAAAAACAACATTCTCATTTAGAGGGAATGGAAGGATATTTTCCTGGTAGGTTAATTTAAAAAATGGTTGGCTGTAGCTTTGGGGAACTTAGAAACATTTAGCATCTGTTTTATAAAGTTAAACCACCTTAATTTTTAAAAAATATTTGACTTTTCTTTCTAATCAGATGCTGTGATAATAACATTTTACATTACACTGAAGTTCTCCTTTAACTACATCAGCTATTTACACCTGATTTTTCCCTCAAATGCTGTAAAGGTTTGAATAGTGTTCCATGTTACCTTCCTCCTTTGTCATATTCGCCTTAGGAGCACCCCAGGCCTGAACCATTGATATAGTACTGGGTCCATAATTTTTTTGAATTGCAGTTCCCTTCTGACCTCTTTCATCTTTTGCCAATAAACTTTCTTCTTCAACAGAGGATATATCCCAGTCATCATCATCATCATCAACTTCTGTGAACTGATAAAAAAGTAGCTTTTCTTTTAAAAAGGAAAACTATTTTTTGACTTCAACTTATAAAGGTAGATTCTTTTGAAAATCTATTTACAAGACACACAGGAGAAGACTAGAAATGTTTGGAAGTGAAATACTTAAAAAGTAAGATACTCTGATGTACATTGTATGAAGGCTATGTGGTGTTGTGACATATCACCTTACTTTTATGTTTCATTGGTTAAAAAACGACCTACGTGCTTTTAACCTCTGCACACATTGAATGCAATAAATTATTTTAGTGCTAGACTCTTACTCTTAAAAAGCCCCACAAAAAGTGACAGGAACTGCAAAAGTTAGAGCCAGACATTTAGGTGGTAGAAATCAGTGCAGTCCCACTCAACAGCACAGTCCCCATACATTGGTTTACACCAGCTGAGAACCTGACCCAGTGATCACACTATGATGTTTATGAAGCTACACTGCATGCTATGTGTGTTATAGTGTACCTTGCCTAACAAGCTATCTGCAGCCCTTGACTGGTGTTCCTAAGCATTACAGTATTATAAAGGATTTGATTACATATTAGTTTATTACTAGTTTAAGAAAAAATGAATATACGCCACGACATTCAGGGTGTCTGTACACAAGTGTCAAACAAGCTTTAGTTCAAGTGCCCCCGCCACTATTTTGAAGCGCATGGACATCGATACATGAGACACTGAGAGGCACTTTAATTAGAGCTGCTCTTGGAGCCACTCTAAATAAAATGCCACTTACACCACCCCCAGAGCACATGTAAAAGTGCCCTCAGTTGCTAATGAGAGAGTCACTTCTCTCTCAGGACAGTGAGTGTAAAAATGTTCAGGATTTTTTTCCCAGAGCAAAAATAGCTGTTCCAGGAGCAAAAGAACCTGGGAATAAGCTGGTTTAAAACACTTCTGGGAGAGATCATGTTCCCTTCACGATTCCATACTGTGCTACAGGCAGAGACAGACAGACCCTGAGCAGTTTGGGTTAGTCCATCAGGGCTGTCCTGTGCATTGCAGCCATCTGTCACCAGGCAGACTGAGGGAGCTTGCAGAACACACTGAGATCTGTGTACTGAGACCTGGCTGAGCAGCATCAGCACTGCACTGCAAGCTCTCTGATCTTCAGGGTCTCAGCATTCAAATGTCTGTTCAGGAGTCTATTCAGGGTAAGTTTTCTAACAGGAGACCCAAACCAGGAGAATTCTCCCAGGTCCTTTGAATATGTGTACACAGCTTAAGACACTACAGGCCATATAGGTTATCTGGCAGAAACAAGTTTTTCTTTCCTTGACTTCTTGTATTTTCAACTATGCAATTTTAATACTGCACAAACCATTTTTAATATGTAAGGTTCCTTGAATGACGGGGGAAAATAAAAGAAGGGATAAAAAAGAATGCTGAGAAAATGAAAAAAAAAGAATAGAAAATATTTGGTACAAAATGATCATAAAGGCTTTCTGTATCTAATTATTTAATTGGTACCCAACCTTACAGTATCTGTTGTCAGCATTGGCCATTTTCAGGAGGCCTGGGCCAAGCTGCAGGAGAGTGACATGAACTATGGCTCACAAAACTGTTTTTGCATGCCTGCAAAATGAATCTTTGCAGTGTTACAAGTGGGAGGTTTAACTAAATTTGTGAAGTCGTTAATCTGCACAACTAAATAGTGGAATCTGAGTGCGTCTACATGAGATGCTTTACTCAAGATTAGAGCTAATTACTGTGTAGTAAGGGTCACTGTCTACACATGCAGATGCTTACTGCACAATAATTGGCTCTAATTATGAATAAATTTGCTACCTGTAAATACATGTAGCAAATTTACTCGTGATTACTTACTGTGCCGTATGGCACGTGTAGATGGCTGACTAGGAGCAAACTTGATCCTGGACAGCTAGGCAGCCTGGGGCAGCAAACTGGGCACCAGAGCCTGGATGGGGACCATGTCCTGGCAGTAGGGAGCTCCTACCCCACTCCCTGATCACAATCAGAGCAGGGACTGGGGAGACTGTTCCCACCTGCTGCTCCACAATTGCAGAGTAGGGGCTGGCAATAGGCTCCCCAGCCCCAACCCCACAGTCACAGATTGGGGGCTGGGAACTGTCCTGGTCGGGGGCAGGTCCCAGCTTTGTGCCCCTACTGGGCAATCAAGATGCAGGGCTTGGAAAGTGCTGCAGGGGAGGGGCAGGTCTCAGTCCCCTGCCTTGATCCACCAATGGGGCAGCTAGCAGTGAACCCCCAGCTGGACAGGGAATCCTGGAGCTCCTTCATCCCTGCTCGTGTAGATGCCTGCCATGGGTGTATTTACTGTAGAGTAATTTACTCTAGAATAAACCCACCCTAAAGTAAATGCATGTGTAGACATGTCCTCTGCCATTTAAATTAAGTGAAAGACCTGGCAGGAAACAAAACCTGCCCAAAAGTCTTGAAATAAGTAATCCATAATACAGCACATTGCAATTCTATGAGAATGTTAGTATAAATAATGGGCAAGATAACACAATGTGTCAAATGTAACTTATGCTATAGTATGTACACCTTTGTTAAGCTTCTCTTATAAGTTATAAAAGCAAAAGCAGATTTGTAGAGAATACCATAAATTAAAGAAAGAAAAAAAGAATATTAACAAGAAGAAATCCTCCCTTCAGTTTCACATAGAAATACATTTTGACTACCTGACACCTTCCAGAACCATGGAAATATTGCTTGAGTCTTGTTTCTAGAGTCTCAGCAAGACTAAGAGTATTTGAACTGCTGTTGTTAGGGAAAAGCAGGTATATATATTGCAAACTGGTGAAAAAATTGGATCCAAAACAGCCTGCAAGCCAGTCTGCAAGCCCTCCTCCTCTTCTTTCCTGAATTTCCCCAATAGAAGTAAGCATATGTATTCTGCTATAATTGGCAGCACAATACACACTTACCCCAGTGCCTAGCTTATCATTTAGGTGTGATCAATTAAAAAAAGGGCTGTACACGTCTCTTGTCTTGTTTATCAGTAACAACCTGATAAGAACTCCTAATTCCAAAGAATTAAAAAGACAACAAAACAAAACAACATTACAAGAATTATATGGACAACATAAATTCAATTTTTTTCTTGTTCACAGCATCTGGTAGGAGTAATTTTTTTTAATTAGCATGTTGGATTTGCATATTAAGCTTAATGAGCAAAAGCCAGGTAAGAGAGGTGAATCTGTATCTCATCTGAATACAATACAGTCCATCATCATCATATTTCTTGTGCCAGACAGTCTCATATGTAGGAACATCTCCTAAAAAACTCCTTCTCTCTCAATTTCTTAGCAATTTTGTGGTTCAATTATCTGTTATTGGAGAGCATTAATTGCATAGAGAGAGAGAGTTTCTCACACTAGCTAGGGAGAACTTTAGTATCATAACTGAGACATAGAATTTAGTTCCTTACAGAGGTCAGTGACTTTTGCTAAGAGGCAGGGTCAGCAGCTACTGGACAATATGTGCATCAGTGATAAAAATTCACAAGTATGCACATGCAGCACGTCTCTTCTAAAGTGCAGAGATTGATGGAACTGCCATACATTGCAACATCCATATATTTTTAACCTTCATATCTTTGTTAACTGAAAACTAATATTTGTCAGGAAGTGACAGATTTGCTCGCTGTGCTGTATTATTAACATTCCATGTTTCAATGTTTTGCAATTTTAAGTTATCCGTGTGAGCAAGGTGTGGCAATAATGGGAGAGGTGTATTTCTATATATTAAAAATAATGGCTGGGGGATTTTCCTCAAATATTCAAAATAACAATGATATATTACAGTGTTACAAAATTAACAATGAAATAGACCTTTGCAGAGAAAAATGCTGACCCTAAGCAAAATTCTTAATAAAATTAAGATCAAATATAAAGAGAGGGCAATGATCAAAGCTCTTATACAATATTAACTAAAGGATCCACTACTGAACAAATGCTATAACACATGTTAGCACAGTTGAACTCACAGTAGTTAGGATGCTATAGGCAAAGGGAGATATAAAAGTAGTTCAAGCCAATATTGTTACTCTAAGTATTTCTAAAATAATTCCTGAAAAATATGACACAAGTAGATTACAAGATAATGTAAAAGTATAAAAAGCATGGTCACACCTTACTGGTTCAGAGAGGCATGAGATTTTATAGGTAACAACCTTCTTTGTTAGATTCTATTGGATTACATAGGTTATTGCCTATGTCCCTCTCAACCAGTTGGTGTCAAAGGTGCCACCCTGCCCTATCTTCTGCCTGACTTCAGACTAACCTGGCTAGCCACCATTTTGTAAGTTTTATAGCACTCGGAATGACCTTTGTCATTCCTAATCAGTGCAGCCTTCTCCAAATTATGTTGGTAAAAGGCAGTTTCAGAGGAGCCTTAATGGAGTTTGCCACGCAGTCAAATGTTAGAGTCACTTTGGTGGCTAAATCTCACAGGCACCTTAAAACATTCAGCAAAAATGCAACTTTACTAGCTGTGCACATGTAAACATACATATGTAAACTTTTACATATATACGGGAAGACAGAATATGGGATGGTTTGGTATAATGCTGTTTGGACAACCAGGATACAGAAAAGCCCAAAGTGAGTTAAGCAGCTCGTCCCAAATTCACAGCCTTCATACCACTTCTGTGCACGTTCACTTTATGTAAAATATACCACAGAAAAAATATTTTTTTTAAATTTGAAGTATGTGGGGGGACTATTTAGCTAGATCTGATTTGCTTCCGACTCCCCAACATGGTGTCCCATTGTACAAAGAAACAAAAAATTATAAATGTATACCAAATTTATTTTCTATACATAGCTTGTGGCCATTTTTTGGTTTATTATAAACTCTCCATTGTTTCTAAACTATTCTCAGCTTGGAATACAAACCATTACAGCAAAACTAACCAAAACATAGCTAATGTAGATATGTTTAATTAAACTTCATACAACAAAAACAACAAATACCTTCAGTTCTTGTATGTCATCTTTTTTAACAAATGCTTCTGCAACATTAAGCCCTCCAGGTGGTTTATTTTTATTTCCATGGTTAGAAAGAGTCTTTTCAACTTGTTCAGTCAGTTTTTGGATAATTGCACCTGTAAGATCATTACAAAATGGAGAGAGACTGTTAATTTGAGAGTAAGGTATAAAAATATTTCTCCTATGACATTAATAATTAATAAAAATGAAATAACTAAAATGTAAATGTACTTTTTATTAGTTATGCTTTTTTCCTTTTTAATTTTTATACATATTTAAAAAAACGAATATTTCTGTTCAGAAGGGTAAAGTGAAGTTCCACATATGTTGTTTCTAAATATATAAAACACTCTGTTTCAAAATATCTTTTGTTTTTGCCTGCTGGCTTGCAACTTCAAGATGGATCATGTAAGTCAAAACAATTCCATCCTATTTGTATCAGTAAATCAGTATAGTAGATTAACAAATCAGAATCAGTAAAACACTAATCAGAATTAGTGAAAATGCTGTAAGATGCATTATATGCTCAGTGATTTTTCTGTGATCTTGTTCTCTATGAGATTGCACATATGTGGTAATTGCTCCTGTAATTTAGGGTGACTATACACGAGCAGCGAGGCTGCTCTGATGTGCTATATCAATGCACTGTAATTACAGATTACTCGGGTCTGCTGGAGAGTGGTAATTACCACACTCCAGCAGACTCCACCATCTCATTTATCAGCATCCCTGCACTTGAAAATGGCAGTGGGGGCACTTTATCTAATGTTCATCTAATGAGTCCAGAGCGCCCAGAGCTCATCTAATGAGCTTTAGATAAAGTGCCTCCATCGCCATTTTGAAGCACGGTGACACTGATACATGAGAAGCTCTGGGCTCTTTAATTAGAGCAGCTCTTGAAGCTACTCTAATTAAAGTGCACACCCCCCCCCCCCCCACCCCCACCCCCCCCCCCCCCGCAACTCCCACAGCACGTGTATAAACGCCCTAAATGATTTGTTTTTAAAGTAAATAGAGCAAACAATATGGAGATGTTCAAAAGGAGATTAGACAGGCATATGGCTGGGGTTACCTAACTCTGGCGCTCCTTCCTGTCTGGAGCAGGGGGTCGGACCTGATGATCAAACAAGCAATCCTGGATGCACAAGCAAAGTCTATTCCATCTCAGAGGAAAGGCAGCAAGAGGGCACAGCAGCCCCCTTGGCTCTCCAGGAAACTAGTGTACCTCCTGCATCTAAAAAGAAAAACCTACAAAGGATGGAGGACTGGATCCACCTCCATGGAGGAATATTCTGCACTAGTTCGGAACTGCACAGAGCAAACCAGGAAAGCCAAGGCTGCGAAGGAACTCCAACAAGCTACAAGTATCAAGGACAATAAAAAGTCCTTTTTTAGACATATGGGAAGCCAGAAGAAAAGCAAGGGCAACACTGGACACCTGCTAAACCAGGCGGGACAACTGACAACCGACACCCAGGGAAAACCCAACTTGCTAAATGGGAACTTTGCGCTGGTCTTTCACCAGTCCCATGGGATGACCCTGCCCATTACAAGACAGTGAGGCCTGGGTGAGGGAGATTCCTTACCCTCCATCAATGCTGACCTCATGAAGGAACACCTTGAGAGGCTGCACACCTTCAAGTCAGCCGGTCCTGACAGTTTACACCCCAGGGTACTCAAGGAGCTGGCCAGCATCATAGCTCAGCCCCTGGCACGGATCTTCGAGAGCTCCTCGCGCTCTGGTGAAGTGCCCGAAGACTGGAAGAAGGCCAATGTGGTGCCTATCTTCAAGAAAGGGAGGAAAGTGGATCCGGCAAACTATAGGCCCATCAGCCTGACCTCTATTCTAGGGAAGGTCTTAGAAAAGATTATCAAAGAGGCCATTCTTAACAGACTGGCCATTGGCAACATCCTGAGGGATACCCAGGATACGTTTGTTGCGGGTAGGTCTTGCTCGACCTATCTTCTTTCCTTTTATGACCAGGTGACGTATCATCTGGACAAGGGAGAAGAGATTGATGTTGTATATCTTGACTTTAAAAAAAAACAAACCTTTGATCTGGTATCCCATGATCACCTGTTAGCAAAACTGGCTAACTGTGGCCTTGGCCTCACCACGATCCACTGGCTGGGGAATTGGCTCCGTGGTCGGACCCAGAGGGTGGTGGCTGACAGAAGTCAATCGTTGTGGTGCCCTGTGACAAGTGGGGGCCCACAAGGCTCTATCCTTGGACCTATATTATTCAACCCCTGCATTAATGATGTGGATATTGGTGTCAGAAGCGGACTGGCTAAGTTAGCCGACAATACCAAACTCTGGGGCAAAGTGTCCACACCTGAGGACAGGAGGGCGATCCAGGCAGACCGCAACAGGCTCACAAAATGGGCGGATGAGAACCTGATGGTGTTTAACACCGAAAAATGCAAGGTTCTCCACCTTGGAAGCAAAAACCTGCACCATGCTTATAGGCTCAGCAGTGCTACTCTGGCTAGCACTACAGATGAAAAGGACTTGGGGGGGGGGGGGGGGGGG